ATCACAAGTTACAGTTAACCTCTTTAAGGCATTAGAAAAAATACAATTGAAGCCCTAACACACTTTTAAGCGATACCTTTCAAAAGATCAAGATCCTCTGGGGTCTTTTCTTTTAGAGGCGTCTTATCTGGTATTTTAGGAAGACCAACATCTAAAACCACGTGAGAGGAAACCAAAAGTAAGAGTAAGCAGAGGAGAAAGAGTCTTAACGCAAGCTGAAGAAGTCTTAGGTGGACATTCAGTATAATTAAGCTCATTGCTTAACAAATTAAACAGTTTGTTAGTGAAATTTGCGTCACATAAACTTTCACTTGACCTTTATTGACCTGGAAGCACCAGGTTGGGCTGGGTTGAGTTTGATCAAATCAGATTAGAAAATTTAGGCCTGCGATTGAAATCAAAGCATCCCCTAAAAGCATTAAACATTTGATTAAACTGCTGTGTGGGTGAGTATATTCAACAGTACAGAGAAGGGCAGGCAGGGAAATGTGTGTCTTTCAACGGTGTAATGATAAAACTTCTAATATGCATCCATGAAGTTTTCTTGCCTCTGCTGAGAGGGATCTCCAGGCCGTGTCCTCTGGATAAACACGAGGACACTCCCAGCTTTCTGCTGGACACTTGGCCTCTTACTGAGGAGGTGCTTTTTGGATTTATGCCTGAAACAACAATGAAACAAACCGAGCTCAGGGTGAATTTTTGTACATTTGTACAGTCTGCACATTAAGAAACCAGACATCTTAACGTAATAGCAAGCTGCAATCAGGCCAAGCTAAGGTTTATTTTGTGACATATTTCCTGTGTCCTTTTATAAGTTTTGTTGTTTTCTTTCTAATATTGTAGGCTCCTTGTCGTACAATATAAAGTTCCTGTTGTCATGAATTGGTGATATATATATAAAACTGAATGGAATTGAATATATATTTTAACTTTATTGTTTAATGAAATTTAGGGCAGGTGGGATTTTTGTTTTTGGATTATGTTCACCTACCTTTGGTTCTTTTCATTGTGGCGTTTATGTGTAAACATGGTTAATTATTATTGCTATTATTATTACTATGTTTTTCTCACCAGGCATATATCTGGACTGGTGGAGGTAGTGCTGCTTGGCTGACATGGTGTTGGAGTCATCTCGGCTCAGTCTGCTGTTGCTTGGCAGTTTTGATCCTCTGTTGTTCTTTGACTCTGAAAATCTGCATTATAACTTTATTTTTTAACGTTTCCTGAAACTCTGATGACGACATTTCACCTGATGATGAGGGTCTCTCACCGACAGCTGTTCCTCAGAGAAGTGATGGTGGGTTTTTTGGAGATGGAAGCGCCGGTGTCTTTATCGTCACTGTCGTCCCAACTGTCCACCGACCTGAAAGATGTTTGGCCCCACTGCCGTCGTGCAGGCCGGGCATGTCTATTCTCGGCTCCTCGCTGATTTAACGTGAGGCAAATGTTAAACGAGAAATGAGTATTAAATTATTATTTTTGTTATTCTTTATATTTAAATAAAGCTGTATCCAGTGTGGAAGCGTAAATAAAGAAGATAAAAGTTTAGCTCCCTCAAAAACCCAAGCCTTATACTAATCATCCGGCCATGATTGGGTTCACTGTTTAATGCTGAAAGCCTTCACCTCAGTGACGTTTACAGGCTGACAGTGCTCTGGTGGTCTTCTTTTCACCAGACTGAGAGGCTCCTGCTGTCCCTCTGTCAGTGTGCTGGGACACACTGGTTGAAGTGTGCTCTTCTCTATATCCTCCTGAGGAAGAGGAATCTGCTGGATAGGCTGATGGAGAGATTGGCTGCAGGTCTGAGGCTCAGCGTGGGTCGTGACAAGCTCGCAGGGGTCCAGATGAGGCTTACAGAGGGACAGAGGCTTCAGATCTGCAGCTGTCTCAGAAATCTTCTTCTTCTGGGCCTGCTGTTCTGAGTGCTTTAGTGGGGCACCAAGTG